CCGCCTTAGAGCAGTTTGGTAAACTATACCTTTGTAAGCAATATTGAAACATATTTCTCTCCCTACCTGATCCCTCGAAAAAAATCTGTTTGTTATAATAGGACACAGATTGGAAACTCCTGATGAGGCTCTAACTGGAATGTCATGTCTGAGAGAGAGATGCACAGACTCTGGATGTCTCCAGAAAATGCTAGGGAATTAAGGTTGACGTTGGAGGCTGACCAGAAAACAGCCTGGTACCTTTCTCACATGGTTCATGGCAGTCTTTCCAGTTAAGGAATGAAGGTTGCTTTCCTGGGAGATGGCAAAGGAAGAACCTGAAGATACTTTAGGGGACCTTGAGAACCTGAGGAATTCTCCCATATTTATAGGTATTGCAGGCAAATGCTGATGGCCAACTACGTGGCTTGGCTTCTCAGCCCTGAGGGGCTAATTAAGGTTCAATCTGGAGATTGCTTATGAAATTCCAGCAAAGCAGACTTAAAAGAGCCTATATAATAATTTGCTATTCTTGTACTTATGCAAATAACAGACCAAATTTATTGAAACTAGACATATGCAATGAATTAGTTTTAACTTGGTTATTTAATAAAATGAGGGTTATTTTAGAGAGAAAAATTGTTTCAATAGAAACCATAATGTACAATTGTGGATATTATAGTTTGGTTAACTGTCTAAAGTTTTATTTTTTTCACCTGTGGACTGAACTGGATCCTGAAATTTTCTAGTGGAGGTGTTTGGTTGCAGCCCTTTCTGAACTAGTGTTTCATTTTTCTCCCTTCCTTTGCCTTGGAGTTATTGGGAACTAAAACTTTTTTCTGAGCCTTGTGATTGCAGACTGTAAGTAGATGACATAATGTAAACTTCCAAGAAATCATCACAACAGCTCATATTTGGACGGTTTAGGTGACTGATGCAGTGTAAGCCACACAGAGAGCTTACCTGAGCACCGGATGACATCATCAGGACGTTTGGACTGCAGACCAGTGGAATCTGTCAAATGTTCACTGCCTACCTTCATTCCAGCAAAAATGAAGCTCTGAGCCTTTCATCTGGAGGTCTTCTAGACTGAGCCTTACAGACTCAGAGACTGACTTATGATTTGCTCTGATCATTACTTAGGGTACATGTATCCTGGCCTACTGTTTCTTCCACCATTGCAGTAGTCTCTGTTTGTAAATTGTACACCCAAAATGCCCCCTCTAAGGCTCAGGGATCATCTGGAAAGGGATGGGTGTGTGAGATTGTAAGAGCCAGATAGGAAAGCCAGGTAAGAGGGGCACCATGGGCAGACTGATCTGACTCCATTTTACAAACTAATCCTCCCTCTTTATTGAACCTGGATCCAGTTGCTCTATTTCCCTCAAGGTTGAGAGATGAACAGAAAATGGGGGAATTATAACAATGAAATGCTTCCTTTCTCTGATGGCCTGCAGGCTAATAGTTCCTGCTATATATATGCTACTTAACTAGCAGAATTCTGCTTGAGGCTTGAGCAGCCCCCTTATCAGCAAAAAGGTGGGGAAACAGGCACAGGGTAATGACTTTTTCAAAGATTCACAGGAGTCTCCATAACTGGACTCAGATCAATGGGACTCAATGGATCCACCGGGAACAAAGGGACTGAGAAATTTCCCGCTCTTCCTTAGAGCCCTTTCAAGGCTTACCTGTCTATGACAGCACCCACCCCTTGCCTTGCCCCTTCCCCCTTCCCTTAGTGATAAGAGATGCTTGGATTCCAGACTCTCTTAAGAAGGATTTGAGAATTCTCCCATCTACTAAAGCTAGGACCTCTTCATCAATAAACCTTTCCTTGCTTAAAAAACAAAACAAAACAAAAAAGCTATTTTAGGTGCTGATTTATCAAGATATGAATAGAAAAGCCTGGCCAGTGTGGCTCAGTGGTTGAGCATCGACCTAAGAACCACTCCGTCACCAGGTCACAGTTTGATTCCTGGGCAGGGCACATGCCCAGGTTGTGGGCTTGATTCCCCAGTATGGGGCATGCAGGAGGTAGCCGATCAATGACTTTCTCTCAATCATTGATGTTTTTATCTCTCTCCCTCTCTTTGAAATCAATAAAAACATTTAAAAAATATGAATAGAAAACATTGAGTCATTACTGAATCCATATGTGTATGTAGTTTTTTTTTACTTTTTAAAAATGTCCAACCTATATTATAAAATACCTCGACTGATTTAGTTCTTAACAATGGCATTGCCAGTGGTCAGAAAGTTCATAAAAGGTGTTTTTGCTTTTTTTTTTTTTTTTAATAGTTTGTGGTACTATCTGTATTCTGTTTCCCAAAAAGTAACATTTTAACTAAATGGTTTGTTGGGTTTTGGATTTTTTTCATTCATCATCCTTCTAAGTAAAGCTCTCCATTACTTCATTGTGACTTTGGCTGACTTATTAGAGATGATTTCTGAGTTAAACTTAACCTTGTTGGGGGATTTAAGGCCTTGTTAGCTATGCCATGTAACATCCTGATCTAAAGTTAGAGCAATTTATCTGTTTCTATCCCATCTCCTCCCATCCTTTTTACTTATAGTCCACTGACGTAGAAGCATGGAGCATACTGACGAATCTCAGAGGGAAGAGGGAAGGGAGGAAGAGATTAACCAAAGAACATATATGCATAACCCATGGACACCCATAATAGTGTGGTGAAGGCCTGGAGAGGGCGGGTACAGGGTAGAGGGGTCAATGGGGGAAGAAAAAGAGGGACACGTATAATACTTTCAACAATAAAGATAAATTTAAAAATAAAATAAAAACTACCCACAGGGGCCATTTTATGCAAATGTATACACTTTATATATAAGTTTCTAGAAGTTTTAAAAGCTGAATCAAATTATCATGCAGGACAGAAAAAACCTACAAAAACACACTGTGCCTAAGAAGGCACACAGGCACACAGGCCGCTGTGCTCATTCATTCAGTCAACAGATTGAGCTGCTTGGGTGTGTGTTTTTTAACATGCATTATTAGTTAACTTTGAGACATAGGACATAGTTATAATAATCCTTATCCTAATGATATGAGAAACAGAGTTACTAGGTACCTTGCCAAAGGCTATATAACTAGAAAGTGATAAGAGCAGGTTTTAAACGGGGTGTCAACTTCATGTTTTGTGTCTGCCAGGGACAGGGTTGGGGAAAGTGATGAACTTCTGCTAAGTACACCCCAAATTTAAATTTAGTCGCTATATCTGTGTTGTAAAAGCCAATCCTTTAACTTACCTGTTCAGTCCTATCGTTTTGTCTACTGGATCTGGCTTGTTCATTTTTCTTTGGACCATCGCCTGATATTTCCCTCACTGAGGCACAACTAGCGTGTCTCTGCTTACCGGCTGAGCTTTTCCGTACTTTTACTCCCTCTTCTCCCTAAATTCTTCAGGAGCTAGAATAGTTCTGTTACAGGCACCTCTCACAGACACCAGAGAGGTGTTATGGGACAGCCCCGAGTCAGAGGGCAAGGGCTGTCCCCACCTTGATTCGTGTCATGCTCATAGGAATGAATTCAAACAAGTGATTCCAGATAATTGCATTGTGGTAAAGCCAATTTATTAAAAAATTAAAGTAAGCAAATTTATTAAAGAAGCAAGGCAAACAAATCGACTAAACTACATCCGAGTCTGGTGGGGGTTCAAGGGGTTATATACCCTTCTGTGTATAGATTCTAAAATCCCTTTGCTAGGAATTGGTACAGGTTAACTCTGAAGGTCTCTCCTTTTGCTTTGTTATGGCTTTCCAAGAAAGTATGAGAAGCACCTGGCAATTAAATCCTAAGACTGCTGGCTTCTCTATTTAAACAGCGGGATGGGATAAGACTTCACTCTTCCTTCCCCCCTCCCTCTTCTCTGCTGCCTTTTAGTTGGTTTCAGGATGGATGAAGCTGTGTATTCTCCAGGTGCATCAGGAGTCCCCCTTCCCTTCCCCTTCCTCTCCTACATTCTTTGGAGAGACATTAACCATCTGCTCTCTAGCACCCTTGGTTGGGGTTGGGGGAAGGTAAAAGCTTGCTATTTACAAGCTGGCTGCCGGCTGCCAAACTATCCGGCCTTGTTTAATTTTCTTGTCTCAGTTTCCCCATTCCTCCTGCCCTTGCTTCTTACTATCCTATAACAGTTCAGTACAATCTAAACACTATCTTTACTAGCACATCTCTGAAATTTTAAAATTTGTTTTAAACACGCGGAATAAAACCCTGCCCCTACACTGGCCTTGGCACCTAACTTCCCTTTATTGCTTTCAGTTCATTTGTGTCCCTGGAAAAGATATTTCAAGTATTATCATGGTTGTGTGCACACACACACACACACACACACATATTTTTTTTTGGTAACAAACATGTTCATTTCCTTTTCTTTCCACTGAGCACCTCCAAACAATGTGATTTTCCCTTTTAAGTCTTTCGTGCGTCAGGAAAATGTTATTTTCACCTATGCTGTGATTGGTGTGGAAAGTTTCTTGCTCACAGGTAACACAGATACCAAGTCTTATTCAAAGCCTGAAGCTATATATTTACCCTCTACTGCCTCAGTTCAGAGTCCTGTTTTGTCACTCACTGTGGCAATTTACTGAAACTCTGCTTTCATTTCCTCCTCTGTCAATTCAGGTTGCTATCAGTACTTAAGAGGGCAGCTGTGAGGATGAAGTGAGTCAGGGCACGGAAAATGCTCAGAACAGTGCTGGGCATTTGGTGAAAGGGCTGGTTCTAGGAATAAACCACTGTCTTTGTTCAAAAATCACTGGAGCACCTTACATATTTGAAAAATGGTCTCTCCTTGACCCAGTTAGTTCCACACACAGGACCTAAGAGACATCAGAACTTGGCCTGTGGGTTCCGTGTGAGGCAGGTGCCACGCGGGCTCCGGGCCTTCCTCTGTTGGCTTCAGAGTCAGCCATGACCAGCGTGTCTAGCTCAGCTCTTGCTGACGCTCCGCCCCAGAATCTGCTTTCTGTATAAGAGGAGCCGAAGCAGTTACTTAAGGCGGACGAGCCAGGTAATGGACCCATTCGCCCTTCCTTGAGCAGTCACTGAATTACAGTGGCGCAGAACGTGTAAGAAACCAGAAGTCACTACACGCAGCCAGGAACATGTCCATCAACCCAAACACCCTCTGAGGAATAGTCTCAGATTGTCCCCATCCTGTTTACCAGACACCACTCCTTATACACTTTCTGTTAAATATATGGAGAAAGAAACATAAGGAATGGGGACAAAGACTGCAACATAGGAATGATTAAGACTGCTTTACAAAGTACATCTTGACCCCCTTGGGTACCAAATACACATGCTAAAAACGTATAAGATATATGCAAATCCTGTAAATAACCTGTTTATTTTTTTATAGAAAGCCACAACAGAAAATGATTAGTATATAACTATGTAAGAACATTTACATCCATATAATCAACACATTCCTCAAATTCCTATTTTAAAAATAGTTTGAGTGTTAATTATAGGAGGGCCCTGAAGGGATCATTTTGTGCATGGTTCACCTTTATAACAAACTCAAGACAGTTTGCAGCAGTGCTCTTTCTAGACGTAAGCATTTTTATCAAACTGTTTCGGAGGGTTTGTGGTTTTGATATCTCCTTCACCACGATACTTTGTCCGAGAAGACATGACAGATGTGGCCCCGTTGTATGCATATCCCATTCTGAAAGGCAAAACACAGCTGGGTAGATTCTGTTTTGCACGCAGGGCGAACAAAAATGGGAAGAAACCATCCTCCCCCTACTTCTGTCATAGCTAAGTTTAAGTCTCCTGATTAGTGAGCTTTCTTCCCAAGAAATACTTCAAAATCATTTCTGAACGGCTGCTGTGACAATCTCTGCCGAAGAAACTCATGGCTTTTTCATTTGTTCAGCAACTCTCCTTCAAAATTATGATTTAAAACTCATCTTCCTGGAACCTAGGAGACCGCATGACCTTCATCAGTGATTTCTATGTGAAAATTATGATGAGGCCAAAGGGATGCCCCTGTTGTCAGACCCATAGTTCTACTTCCAGAAATAGCTTTGGGATGTAAGAATGATGAACTCTTCAAAAAAAATCAACAACAAAAAAAACTATAACGAACTATATTCTATTCAATATAATATCTACTATTCAATACATTATACTATTTATTCCTAATCTTACCCAATTCTGGGTTTTTGAAGTTTCTAAGAATCATGAACTATCTATAACGTATCCCATGTGTAGTAAATTAAAATAGTATTATACTTTTTCACGGGCCACTTTGTTTCTTTTTCATACCTGGGTGTTTTGTTGTTGTCCGATATTGAAAAGCAAAATATGACGCCCCCAATTATGCAGAGTGAGGCTCCCGACCATCCAATAAACAGAGCGGCTCCTAATTCATACCTGTGAGGAAGTTTGCACAAGTATTACGGTTTAGTTGTTAAGGGGGTGGGGCAGGTAAACAGTAACACTACTAGCCAACATTTACTGAATGCTAATTATAATTTTTTGCTATTAGAGCTTGTACAGGAAGTAGTAACACCTCGTATCCGTATAATGCTTTCAACTTTTCTCAAAGTGTTTTTATAGCCGTCACATGATTATATGTCCCCAGAGAAACAAAGAATGAGAAAAGTAAATCCAAATCTCAAGGGCTATGTGTTTTCCCATGTTGCCTATCCCATTTTTGAAGAATAGTGGGTGGCTGTTTTAATAAAGAAGTGGTTCTCAAACTTTTTTGGCCCATACACTGCCGCTGCAAGGGAAAAAATGATCGCCATTCCCTACCTAAGGGTGCTTTTCATTGTAAAGTGAAGTCACAGTAGGAAGGGTCTGATCACAGAGAATCCAGAGGAGCTGAGAAAGGAAAGTAAGAAGTGAGTTAAGAAAGACATGCCAAGGTTGGCTCCCTCACCAGCCCAACCCCCTGAACCAGGTGCGGGGTCTGGGCCAGGATGCAGTATCCAGGACACACCACGACGTTGGTCGCAGCTGGCCTATGCCTGTCCTGAGTTTGCCTCATCTCTTTCCATGAGCCGGGTCACCATCCAGGCTGCGCAGGCCTCCTGGCGTGACCCGAGTCGCAGCAGTGGTGGGTAGTGTAACAGCATGGCCCCCGCCGGCTGGGGGAGCAGGAAACAACACGTACAGATGAGGGGCTTACGGTCCACGTGCCTATTTTCAGATCTGACTACAGAGGCAATTTCAGGGCCTGTGTTTGCAACTGGGAGGGAGAGATGTACACAGTACATGCTGCCCTGTAATCCCTCCTGTCCTCACTCGTGCTGCCTTTCCTGGGAAACCAAGGTGACTGCCGAAGCAAGGAACAGCTGTGAACCGCTCCTCCCGCCCCGGAGCCCCGATTAGGCTCTGGGAACTGAGAAACTTCCACCGGCACCACCAAAGGCAATCGCGGAAACGGAAGGCTGCGGTAAGTAGAGAAAAACATCTTTAGTCTGCACAAAATAAACAGTCCAGAAGAAGACTGAAGAGAGGCGTGCACAGGTGAAAAAGAAGTGAGCTGAGCAGACCAAGGGTGTTGAACTGGCAGTTTTATAAAAGATACCTTCATTAAATATACCTCGACAAAGGATATCCTGGATTCCACATCAGCCCTGCTTTTATGATGTTTAACAAGATTATGCAAATGGAATAAGCTGCAGGTGCGTATCATCTGACCTCCTTAAAACATCTAAAAGCCCTATAGTAAGCTGGCATCAGATCCATCCATNCAAGCTGCAGGTGCATATCATCTGACCTTAAAACATCTAAAAGCCCTATAGTAAGCTGGCATCAGATCCATCCATTCTCTTCCTCTTCCTGCAAAGGCAACTAAAGGAATGAGCATACTGAAAATCTCTACTTGAAGGATATTATTATGAGGTTACAATTTAATGATACTTTCCATTTTTCTCTATTTTTTCCCCTCTAGAGTTCAGGCTGTCTTCTGTCCTGAAACTATGTATTAGTATTACTTAGTGTAAATACTCTGGAAGAAACAGTCTGAGATTTCTCTTAAACTATTTTTCTTAAACTATCCTCTCTTTAAAAAGGATGCCAGTGTCAGGTACCGTGGTTGATTAAAAACAAGTCTCTAATTATCACTAGTGGTTAGTTAGAAGTGAAGGTGATAGAAATACTACACCACAGCTCGGGACTACGAATTCGGAAGAGCATGCCAACGTGTGCGCAGTGTTGTTACAAGTCAGAGGATGCATTACCCAGGCAGCTCAAATGTCAGCAAGTATGTCTCTATATTTATTTAAGCATCTTGAAACTTTCTGAAGGGATTTAAGAATCATGACTTTGGCTTATATTAAACATGAGTTCACGTATTCCTCTTTTAAATATGTTTTAATTTTCTTTACGTCAGTAAATACAGACTATTCCAAGGAAAATATCATTTCCATTTGAATTCTTTGTGATTTTTGTCGGAGACAAACTTTATAAATAGTAGTACAGTTTACAGTTGAGGTCTTTAAGAGACTCCACGTCTATGCCAATAATTTTTAACAATTCGGATGCGAGGGCTTTTGTGACTTGGTTCCTTCTCTTTCAGAGACTTTTTTCTTCTTTGTTCTGTTAAAAATCATGTATAGCAGACTTACTCAAGAGTTACTAGAATCCACACCTATCGGTGTGCGTGATTTGGCACAAGTGGACTTCCATTAGTGAAAGACAGGAATGAGGGAGTGCAATGTAATATCCACGGAGCACGCCTCTGTGATACTGACTGGGAAAGTCTGTGTCTGCCTGGAACTCTTTCTGCATGTTTGGTAACGCCAAGAAGCTGACTTCAACACCTTAGGAGACCTTAGGAGACTATCCACATTTCAGGTGATCTGTTGCGGGCCTTTCTTTTGTTAACAATATCCTCCTGGCCCTAGACCAGCTTTCCCACTGTGTGGCCTCCTTACTGAGCTGTTATAATTGCCCAAGTGTCTTCATTATTCTGAAAGGCTATAAATCCCTGATCCCCAGGTTGAGGAGAGAACCTCGTTTTATAGATCAGAACATTGTTTTTGGAGCATCTCTTAGATATTCTGCTCACTTGATAGGACTAAACAAAAGCTGCCGGTATGACTTTAATTCATGTGCGTAACTGAATAAAATTTAGTGAGTAATGGGGAAATGTACTTGTATACATAGACATTAAAACACAGATTATGCACTAAAAATTTTCCCAAAAAGGAACCCAAAGATCAAAGGCATTAAAATGTCCTCTGAACTACTGGATGAAGTTATATGCTCATGCGCCTGGCTGCGCCTGGGGCTCCAGGCTGTTGCTCATGTCTCTAATTTCATGTTGAGAGAACCAGAACTAGAACCACCCTTGGTGGCCTTAATTTTGATGCCCTTCATACTTCACCTCCTATTTCAACCCTGCAACCTTCACAGTAATCCTGAGGGAATGGACTGAGGAACGCCCATTATTTATATTCACCTATTTTTGCCCTCCTTGCACCCAAACCCGTTAGCCCCTGACCTGCCATCCACCAGGAGCTGGTGAGCCTACCACAGAAACAGGCTAAGCCTTGTGCTAATCATGTGTTTCAGGGTGGATGAGAGAGACATAGCTCTTTTCTCAAGGATCTTACAGCCTAGTCGGAATAGTCCGACATTAAGCAAATAATTATAGTAAAGTGTGATGAAACATAACAATAGAATCAGAAGACCATTTTTTTGCAAAGTAAACGTTACCCCTTTCAAATCCACATAGGTGTGGTTCAAGTAAATGCCCACAGTGACAAAAGCTACTATTACTGTCAGTTCACAGTACTGGGAATTTTGTGTGCCAAGATTTTTTTACACGTATCATCATATTCGATCTTCACTGTAATTCCAAGAGATGGGTTTTACAAATGAGGAACTGAAGCTCAGGGAAATTAAATTATTTGCCCCATGTCATCTCAGCTAAGGAAATGATAGAAGAAGCAGGATTTTAAACCCATAACTGTGATCCAAACCCTGCTCTCTTAGCCCTCACTCCTTTTTATGTACACCTTAGCTAAGTAAAAGATTTCATTAGCATAAAAATGCAATGTGTGCACTGTAGTTTTAGTTGTCATTTAGTTGTCATTTTCAGAAAGCTGTGTGTGTGCTCTTTCCCTGGCTCATTATGTTCCCAGTGGCTCAAGAGCTCTAGGGTATGGAATTTTTCTAAATTCCCTCAGGCTATCTTTTCACCCAGCACAAAAAAAAGGTGAGTGCAGTAATTAAACTCAGGACGTGTTGGACTTGAAAAAGAGAAAATCAGCTCCTCTAAAAACAAAACAAGAACTGTTTAGTGAATGAAAACAACCTCATCCTTTTAAGATCTCCTGAGAAGTGAAGTGACCTTGTTGAAAGTCACAGAACCAGAAGCCAGGTCTTTTGACATTCAGGATAGTGAACTTTTCCCCCGAATATATTGTCCCACTCCTCATTTTAATCAAGAGTGAGTGGCAGGAGCCAAAATAAATATTCCAATTACCTTAAAACAACGAAATATGTAAAAAAATATTTAAAGTTTAGAAAGTACACCTATATATTATCAATGTTAACATTTTAAGATTGAATTCCACTGGTTTGCCTTCTTTTATTTTTTATTTTATTTTATTTTTTTATTCCTCACCCGAGAATACGTTTTTATTGATTTTAGAGTGAGAGAAAGGGAGAGAGAGATAAAAAAAACATGGATGTGAGAGAGAAACATTGATCGGTTTTCTCTGGTACGCACCCTGACCAGGGATTGAACCCACAACATTCTGGTGTAAGGGACCAACTGAGCCACACAGGCCAGGGCAGTTTGCCTAACTCAGAGGCTCATAAAATCCAAGGTCTATATAACTGCATGGATGGATTTTATAGTAAATAAGTACTCTAAAGACATTACCTACAAACACACATTTTCCCCAAATACTCTACATTGGTGCTTAGTGCCCACCAAGCTGTGTATCTCCCTGAGGATGTCACAGTCTAGTCTCGCTTTGCAATTCACATCAGTTACCAGTTCCTTCATACTGCCTGGAAGGTGCCCCAAGATTTCCCACTTAAGGCTGAACATGAGACTACTAAGAAGTGGCAGGTACCTCCCAAATGGTGACTAAAGTAGAATGGGATAATTTGAATAATAACAAGTCTACTTATATATGGAAACTTGATGGAGAATTATCAAATTTCAGACACCCAAAATAAAGACTGATTTTTTTAGGGGGAGCTGATTCTAAATTGCTTTTCTATGGCTAGTTTAGAGCAGACATGCATACGTTATCTTCCATGTGTTGTGACTTATCATTAGGGTAGTTCAGAATTCTACAAATTCTTTATGGTATATTAATGCAGGTACACTGTAACACTTATTGATCACATACCATGTGCCACTGTGGTGGATGTTTTACATATGCTATTTTCTTTAATCCTTA